AGAAAATTTCATATTTGCCGATGGCAGTGGAACTGTGTGTATTACAGTGGGGAAATTTTTGTCTTGAACTGCTAAATGTTTTGTATGTTAATGAGTTCCAAGCAAACTTTGTATCGGTATCAAAAGCTGTCGAAAAAGGATACAGAGTTATTTTTGATAGTAACAGAGCAATAATAAAAGACAGAGAAAATGTGAATATACTACAAGCCTACAGGAGATGTGATTTGTTCACCATTGACGTAAAAATGAAGCAGTGCATGTAAAAGTGCAGTGCAGTCAAATTCAAGCAGCAGTGAGTTAAGGAAATGGCATTATCGTTTTGGCCACTTAAATCTGGCCAGGTTAAGGAAAATGGCAAGTGGTGAGATGGTGCATGGTTTAAAATAAATCAATAAAAATTTTGAAATAAAAGATGACCTGTGTGAAAATTGCGCAAATAGTAAAATTAGTGTAAAGCCATTTTCAAAAGTATCTGAAAATCGTGCGGTTCAACTATTGAGTTTGATTCACACTGACATTTCGGGACCAATAAGCGACCGTCTGCCGGAGGCGCACGGTACTTCGCAACATTCATTGATGATTACTCACGTTACACAGTTGTGTACTTTTTGAAGTCTCGCCACCAAATATTTCGCGCGTTTTTGTTGTGTTTGCCGAGAGACAATGCGGCACAATGGTATGTTAGTCATGAATTTGAAAAATGCTTGTCGGAATACGTAATTAAAAGACAACTGCTCCGCAGCGGAGTTGCTGAGCGTGCAAATCGCACACTGGTAGAGATGGCCAGAAGTATGCTAGTACACTCGGGCGTAGATGAAACACTATGGGGTGAGGCAGTAAGCATATTTACGCAACAGGTCAGAAACCAAGATATTGGCTAACAAAACACCATTTGAGGCTTGGACTGGCAAGAAACCGTCTGTGTCGCATTTGAAGGTCTTCGGCTCAAAAGCAATTGTCTTAAATAAGGGACACAGAAATAAGTTTCGTCCGAAGGGAATCGAATATATAATGATTGGATATTCGATTGCAGCAAAAGCATATCGCCAATTTTGTCCAGAGTCGAAGAAAGTTATCGAAAGCAGATTAAAATGAAACAGTGCTGTTTGATGATTGTTTAACAGTTAATCAGCAGGCTGAGGCTGAGAATGACCTGCAGAGACAGGCAGAGATTGAAATTGGAGGACAACATACTGGAAAGGAAGATACTGACGAATATGAAAGTGCAGTAAGTGACGATGCAGAGCCGCCCGTAAACTGCGAAGCTCGTGGTCCAGGTCCACTAAAGATAAAAACAGGAAAACCAGGTAGACCCCGTAAGCAGTATAATTGCAAGTATATGCTGAAGGCAGAGGAAATCGTCATTCCTGAAAATGTTAGCGACGCAAGAATGGTCAGCATCGATTCAGAAGAAGATAAAGGCACTTGAAGCCAATAAGACATGGGAGTTTGTGGATTTGCCAGCGAATAAGAAAGCTATAGGCTGCAAATGAGTTTTTGGCATTAAAGCTGACAAGGAAAACTTATGTAGAGCGCTTTAAGTCAAGATTAGTGGCCAAAGAGACGTTCTCTCCAGTTGTGAGGTATTCGTCTGTACTGTATGATTATGGCATTGGCAGTCGAACATAAGTTGCTTGTGCATCAGATGGACGTGTCTACTGCCTACCTGAATAGTGAACTTTCAGAGAAAGTTTATATGAAACAGCCGGACGGATTTGTAAGCGATGAATTCCCTGATAAAGTCGTGAAGCTAAAAAAAAATCTCTCTATGGGCTAAAGCAAAGCGGTAGAGAGTGGAACAGTAGACTGGACGCAGTCTTGAGAAAACTGTGTTTTACTCCATGTGTCAGCGAGCCCTGTGTATATATACGCAATGGGCAAGGTGAAATTAATATAATCGCAGTTTATGTTGATGATCTTTTACTTGCCAGCTCAAATAAAGACGAATTGTTAAAAATCAAAGGAGATTGGCAGCAGGAAAGAGCTACCAATCATTGTTAGGCTCTTTGATGTATTTGGCCATAACAACCAGGCCGGACATACTACGAAATGCCAGCCCTCACAAGAAGCATGAAGTGCCAGCGAAGCGTGTGCTTAGGTATCTAAAAGGTACGGCTAATATGAAACTTCACTATCAGGACACTGGCAAACAGATCTATGGATACGTTGGCGCAGACTGGGCGAACGATGCTGCAGATCGTAAATCGTATAGTGGATATGTCTTTATTGGCGCAGGCAGCGCGATTTCGTGGGAATCGAAGAAACAAAGTCTGGTGGCGGTAAGCAGTACCGAAGCCGAATATATGGCCTTATCTACCGCAGCAAGGGAAGCACAATATCTTAAAAAAGTGTTGCATGAAATGGGATTTATAGAAACCAAGCCTATTTTATTGGATTGCGATAATCAAAGTGCACAGTGCTTAGCTAAGAATCCAATTTTACATAAACGTAGTGGGCACATCGACATAAAGTTCCACCATGTACGAGAACTATACTCTAAGAACGAAATCGATGTTAAATATATACAGTCTGTCAAGAATGAGTTTACACATTGACTAAAACTGCAACATTTCAAGCTAATAACAATAAAAATAAAAATAATAACGAGAAAGAAGTGCTATCTTCGGCACACCGAAGATTTAATACCCTTGCAGATCCAACCTTTTCAAAATGCTCATAGTGCTTTGCCCGTATCTAAGAAGCACAGGGAAAATAGTTAATGCCGAGTATGGTTAAGATATCTTGAAAAACAAAACAGGTTTCCATGCAACAACTTAATTTTCGACCGATCGTTCCTATTGCAGCTTTATGATATAGTAGCCCGATGTGAATAAGATTTTGCATAAGTGGAGGGAGCATAGTAAAACTAATAAATGCCGAGTTTGGTCAAGATATCTTGAAAAACAAAAAAAATTCCATCAAACAGCATAATTTTCGACCGATCGTTCCTATGGCAGCTATATGATATAGTTGTCCGATCTTAATAGGATTTTGCATATATATGGGGAGCGTAGTAAAACTAATAAATACCGAGTTTGGTCAAGATATCTTAAAACACATAAAAATTTTCCATACAAAAACTTAATTTTCGACCGATCTTTCCTATGGCAGCTATATGATATAGTTGTCCGATCTTAATAGGATTTTGCATATATATGGGGAGTGTAGTAAAACTTATAAATACCGAATTTAGTCAAGATAACTTTATAAACAAAAATGTTTTTCATACAAGAACCTACTTTTCGACCGATCGTTCCTATGGCAGCTATATGATATAGTTGTCCGATCTTAATAGGATTTTGCATATATATGGGGAGTGTAGTAAAACTTATAAATACCGAATTTAGTCAAGATAACTTTATAAACAAAAATGTTTTTCATACAAGAACCTACTTTTCGACCGATCTTTCCTATGGCAGCTATATGATATAGTGGTCCGATCCAGCTGGTTTTGACATATGAAGGAATTCTGCAAAGATTCATAAAGATAGCTCTAAAACTGAGAGACTAGTTCGCATAGAAACAGACAGACGGACAGACGGATATGGCTATATCAACTCGGCTGTTGATACTGATCAAGAATATATATACTTTATGGGGTCGGAGATGTCTCCTTCTATGCGTTACACATTTCACGACAAAATTATAATACCCTCTGCAAGGGTATAAAAAGTGACTTTATACTTAACATTTATGACACATTGTAGTCGTGTTTTCATTGAGTGTATTAATTTTTGGAAGTCATAATTTGTTGGTAACTTTTGTCATTTATCTAAAATGACATCTTTAAGTTCCGACTTAGTTTTTGGCTGCCTTTTAGCCACTTTTTTCTTCAGAAAACTCCATACATTTTCTATGGGATTTAAGTCCGGACTCCATCGCTTTTCCGCAGTTATAGAGAAGCCATATGCGCACCATATTTGCTTTGTGCTTAGGGTCATTGTCTTAATAAAATCTGAATTGTGGCTTAAGAGAGCTGTTCCTCAAGTGGCTTTTTAAAATATTCAGATATTGCTGCGCATCCATAGTGGTCTCAATAAAAGCTAAATATCCAACTCCGCTGCTTGAAATGCACCCCCAAATCATCACCGACAATTTTCCAAATTTTACAGTGGGCATTATATTTTGATTTTCCACCGAAGTTAACGGCTTCTGATGGACTCTACTTGGTCCATCATTGTAATACAGCATCATTTTTGTTTCATCACAAAATATGATGTCCCTATAATCAATTGAATGAAAAGTGTACATATATGCGAAGCACTATCGTTTTTTAATGTTTATTTGAGAAAGGAGCGGTTTCTTGCAAGCAGCTCTTAATTTGTAGTCATTGCGAATAATGGCTTGCCTTACTGTTTCATGAGAAACCGCAACATCTAATTCATCCTTCAGTTCCCTGGCAAGAGCTCTGGTTGAGGTCTGAGGATTTGGAGCCACCTTCCTCATCATTAAACGCTCTGTCCGCTCCCCAATTTTAGGCTTAGTTCCACCTCCACGCTTGGGTTCCAACGTACCTTCATAGTCAATGCGTTTTAGGACGTTGTAGATAGTCTTCCGTTTAACAGAAAACATTTCTGCTGATTCACTTTTTCACACTTTTTCCCATCTGGTGGTTATAGTATATAAGCTTGTGTGCAGCGAAATTCAAAACTTATGTATATTTGTTTTCGAATATATTTATTGCCGCGCAGGGCACTTAGTAGAGATTATGTTTTTATATTGTTGCTTGGCAGCCAACTCGAATTAGTTGTGCCTAGGTTGCGATCAAACGAAAAACTAAAAACTATGACAATATGTAAAGCGAACGAAACGAAACTCCAATAAGACGCTCGCCGGTTAGAGCGAAGGGCAGCGGGAGTCAATGCAAAGCAAAGCAATGCAGAAAGAGAGTGGGCAGCAGCTTACAAAGAGCGCGCAAAAACTATTTGCTCTTAGGCTGTAATTATGATTGTTATTTTCTGCTTGGATGATGTCCGCAGCCGTCGGTGTTGTCTCTGCTGTTACTTGACCAAACATTCTCCCCCCGTTGGAAGGCAAGGGCTTTCAACATCATCCTGTTTGGGCAGCAAACACAGCTTTCGTACAGCTCTACGTATGACCCCAGTCGCAGTTTGAAGCACAGCAACTCTGGATACCCCATCAGATCCAGAGATCAGCTCTTGCACTCTAGCTAGTGGCCACTTCAGCGGCGGTAGATTCTCATCCTTTACAAGGACAACATCGTTAATGGAGAGTCCAGGCTGAGGAGTGCGCCATTTGGAGCGCTGTTGAAGAAGCGTCAAATATTCTTCGCGCCAACGGGCCCAGAATACTTGTTGGAGATATGTGACGCGCTGAAAATAATTAAGCCGATTGAAGTTAAGCTGCCTTAGATCGGGCTCAATGTATGATGAAGTTGGCGCTGTACCCAGGAAGTGTGCGGGTGTCAAGACGTCAAGATCACCTGGATGCTCTGAAAGTGGAAGTAATGGTCGAGAATTAATAATTGCCGTGATGTGGCAGACGAGCGTGCGCAGCGAATCGAAATCCAAAATGGAAGAGCCAACAGATCGATAAAAATGGTGCTTAGCAGTCTTCACAGCGGCTTCCCATAGTCCGCCAAAGTGCGGAGAGCGAGGAGGGATGAACAACCATTCAATTGAGTCGGATAGGCAAAACTCGTTAACGGCCTTGACATGCTCGTCACTCAGGAACAGGCGGCTCAGATCTGCTAGTTCGTTCTTGGCACCTACGAAGTTTGTCGCATTGTCAGACCAGATCCTTGAAGGTCGAGAGCGAGTCAGGATGAAACGTTTTAGGGCGTTTAGAAACGATATTGTGGACAAATCCTTTACAAGCTCTAAGTGCACCGCCTTTGTAGCGAAGCATATGAACAGACTGATATAGCATTTCACTGGTGGCCTGTTGCGCACTTCGTTCTTGTAGTAAAATGGTCCACAGTAATCAACGCCAGTGACCATAAAGGGATACGATGTATCAAGACGATCAGCTGGTAGGTCTGCCATTATATGCTCTGCCAATCGTGGCTTGGCACGAAAACAGATTATGCATTTGGCAACAATACTGGAGACTGTTTTTCGACCGCCAATGGGCCAGTACTGGAGCCGAATCGAAGACAATAAAGCGCGAGGTCCAGCGTGTAAGTTTCGTTTATGAAAGTGAACTATGATTGCTCGCGTCACAGGATGCTGACGGGGCAATATAATCGGATGTCGCGCTGAGAAGTCCAACGACGAGTTTTTCAGCCGTCCACCGATGCGGAGTAGGCCGAAGTCGTCAAGGAATGGTGCAAGAGAGGCCATTGAGCTAGACGGTTTGACATGCCTTCCTTCCTTCAATGCCTTGTAGTCATCGCTAAGAGTAGCCATTTGCACTGACCGCAGCAACCAATGTGTGCCATGATGCAAGTGGTCAACAGTTAGTTCAGCTCCTCGGATTCGATTTACAAATTTGTAAACATAAGCAAAGACCCGCTGCAGCTTGGAAAACGAATTGATGAACTTGCAGCCGATCGAGAGATCAGGTTGCGCTGCAGTTCCGAGGAGTACCTTGTGTCGAAGTTCTGGTAAGGATTCGACAGGTACACAGGAGGCAGGCCACTCTTCCTTTCCCTTACTGAGAAAACTCGGACCATTGGCCCATAATGGAGACCGGAAGAGCTCACTAGGCAGCGCTCCCCGTGAAATTATATCCGCCGGGTTTAATTCAGTGGGAATATGATGCCATTCCATTCCAGTGGTGAGCTCTTGGATGGCTGCGACTCGGTTGGCAACGAAAACATTGAATTTCGAAGCATCATTGCGAATCCAAGCCAAAGTCACGGCAGAGTCTGACCAACAGTAATACCGACAGTCGAACACTTTCATTTGGCATATTTCGCTGAGAAGTTGAGCCAATAATGCAGCTCCGCAGAGTTCCAGCTTTGGTACAGTGATGGTTTTCACAGGCGCGACACGCGATTTGGAGCATAAGAGACGCACGCTGGTGTTGCCATGGCACTTTGAGACTGTATAGACGCATGCTCCATAAGCGCTTAGGCTGGCATCACAAAATCCGTGAATCTCCACTGTACTGTCTGATGAGAGTGCTCGACGGGGATACTGGAATTGCTGAGTATACTCAAAATCAGCGCAGAAGTTGACCCAGGCTGTGCTTAAGTGTACGGGCAGGCTCTCATCCCAGTCCAGTTTTTCTCTCCAGAGATCCTGCATAAAAATTTTCGATTTTGTTATTACGGGACCAACAAGACCAAGTGGGTCGTAAAAGCGAGCAATTGCGGAGAGTATCGACCGTTTTGTCAGTCTGGAGGGCAACCTCAGTGGCGAGAAGGAGAAAGCGTCTGAAGCGGGATCCAAACGAGGCCTAACGTTTTCGTGATGTCACTGCCATCGTCAAACTTAAGCAGCGTTTCTCTATCCTCTTCCGGTATGTTTTGGAGTACAGCTGTATCGCTAGAACACCATTTTCGCAGCCTAAAGTTCCCCTTGGCGAGTAGTCCAGATGTTTGCTTCAATATCTCAATCGCTTCTTGAACACAGCTACCACCAGAAATGAGATCATCCACGTAGAAATCTCTTTTAACAATGTCAGAGCCAATAGGGAAAGTTTTCTGCTCATCCATGGCCAGTTGGTGCATAGCTCGCACTGAGAGAAACGATGCTGGTTTTGTGCCGTAGGTGACGGTGTCTAATTTGTAAATCTGTATCTTCTGATGCTGAGACTCACGCCACAAGATACATTGAAAATAACTGTCTGCGGGTTCGACTCGTACGCATCGATACATTTTGCATATATCGCCTGTCAGGGCGACTGCAAATGTACGAAACCGCATCAGTATCGAAAACAGCTTCGGTTGGATGGTAGGACCTGCCATCAGTGCATCATTCAGCGAGTGTCCAGAGGTAGTAACTGCCGAGCCATCAAACACGACCCTTAGCTTGGTTGTAGTGCTATCCTCCTTCAGCACGCAGTGATGTGGCAGGTAGTACTTGCATTGGCCCAGTGCGTAAGGTAACAAGTGACATGTGACCCAAGTCAAGATATTCCTTGATAAATGCTGCATACTGGGTTTTCAAAGCTGGATTGCGGTCTAGTTTTCTTTCTAAGTTCAGGAATCGACGAACCGCCTGTTGATAGGAGTCACCCAGCTGATACATGCCTAGTCGTAGCGGTAAACGAACTGAATAGTCGCCAGTCGACAGACGTTTAAAATTGGCCTGAAAGTGTGCCTCACAGTCGCGTTCCTCCTTGTTTGGTAAGGACTCAGGCTCGGTGCAGCATTCCAATTCCCAAAAACGACGGATTAATTCATCAATCTGTGCATTCGGATGCAGATGTGAGTCAACCAGCAGATCTGGATTCACCATTGATCTCATGGCCATGAATGATGATTTTCCTGCATGTGAAGCACCTCCCGTAGCCACCCAACCAAGGCGAGTCTTTTGCAATATCGGCAGTCCAGCAGCTAGTTTAATCTGGCCGACGCATAGCAGATCGAAGAACAGACTGGCTCCAATCAACATGTCGATTTGCTGAGATTTAAAGAATTCAGGATCAGCTAGTTGTATATTTGATGGAATGTTCCATGATGCAGGGTCAAGAGTGAAGCCAGGCTGATTATCGGTGATGGATGGTGCAATCAAGGCCGGGATGCATGTGGAGTACTCCGACACTCGAGATTTGACATTGATGTTGACCGAAAAACCATCGGACGCAAATGCTGCATCACCAATGCCAGAGACGATTGCTGTTGACTTGAATTTGCGCAGCTGGAGCTGATGAGCAAGACGAGAGGTGATGATGTGCAACTGCGACCCAGAGTCGAGCAACGCACGGCAGGGCACCAAGGAGCCAGCGCGATTTTTCACGTTGATGACGGCAGTGGCAAGCAGGACAACATCGTGCTTGAGATGCTGGGCGGTAGTGAGTGGCGAAGATAAAATTGCCGCCAAGGTGTTTTGGGATGACGAATAAGTTTCGGTATCTTGTGCATTGTTTGAGCTAGAAGCAGCGATGTGACTGCTTGTGTTGCCAAGATGCAACAAGCTATGATGCTTGCTTCCACAAACTCTGCAAGCGCTGGAGCCGCAGACTCTCAGCTGATGTCCCCTTTGCAGGCAGTTTAAGCACAGCGCAAGCCGCTTGGCTTCGTGAAGGCGCAGCGAGGGCGATAAATTTGCGAATTGCAAACATTTATAAATAGAGTGGCCTGCGACTTCACAAAACACACAAGCACTCGTTCCATTCCTAGTCACTACAAACGTTCTTCTACTACTGTTGTTCTGGCCCACATGGGAGCTAGGCGTGTACATTGCCGTAGCTCCAGCCTTTGGCAACGCCTCTCGATGAAGGTTGTAAACCGCTCGCATGATGGTATGACGTCCAACGGCGCATCATCCTCCCAGCTAGCTTGCGTAGCGCTATCTAGTTTTTGCAGCACGTGACTATGAGCAACGGTTGTCAACTCCCATCGATGACGTGATATGAGATCGATCGCGCAGCTGTGTCGTCGCGCCCTTATCCACCTTCCTCAAACCCAAAATTTCAGCGATGTGTGCCTGAAAAATAAGACGCTTGTTATTAAAACGCTTATCAAGCAGTTCTAAAGCGGCAGCATAATTAGCGTTTGAAATTTCCAAGGAGCGAATTGTATCCAGTGCTGTTCCTTTAAGGCATGACCGTAGATGCTGGAGTTTTTCAATGTTGGTCAAATACGGATCCTTGTCAATGACCGTGGTGAACATGTTCGAGAAATCGGCCCATTCTGTGTAGCCTCCACTAAACTCCGGCAATTTAAGTTGAGGCAATCGAGAGTGGTTTGGAACAACAAAGGTAGAACGCGAATCATCGGCTGCGGCAGAATTGAAGGTGGAACAATGCGGAATCTGCTGAACCTTGCTTCGATTTCCGCGTTCGCGTTGAAGGGACACCCGTAGCTGCCAATAGTTGACTCAGTCGGCTCAACGCTGGCTACCCACATCTAACAAACTATCATAGACTGTTTCAAATTTCGCCTGCAAGTCAGATGCCATGCTTATGTAATCTTGCAGCTCGTAGTCATCAACATCGCGAAGTCGAGCGGGATCAAGTTCAGAGGACAATCTATTGAGTCGATCACTTAAATTCTTAATCTTTATTTTAAGAACAGCAGCCTGGGTTCCAACCGCCACTTGACTAGCTGATGTCGCCTCATCATTTCCATTTGCACTTGCACCTTCATCAAACATTATGAATGTAGCGCACAACAAGGTTCACACAGCCGAACAAGTGTCGTTCGAGCGAGATAGCGTATAGCTGTTTATAGCGCGCAACGATTAACGGGGATTTTGCTACGGCGTTTATGTATAACAACCAACTGTATGCAGATGCGCAAGCAAACGGCTCACCACTGTTGTGCTTAAATTGATAAATTGTTTGTTGATACGATAAGAACGAAGTATAAGAAAAATAGAAGAAAAATCACGTCGGGGTCACCAAAATGTGTAGTTGCAAGCTTTTTTGCAACTAATTAATTCTAACTGCTTGTGTGCAGCGAAATTCAAAACTTATGTATATTTGTTTTCGAATATATTTATTGCCGCGCAGGGCACTTAGTAGAGATTATGTTTTTATATTGTTGCTTGGCAGCCAACTCGAATTAGTTGTGCCTAGGTTGCGATCAAACGAAAAACTAAAAACTATGACAATATGTAAAGCGAACGAAACGAAACTCCAATAAGACGCTCGCCGGTTAGAGCGAAGGGCAGCGGGAGTCAATGCAAAGCAAAGCAATGCAGAAAGAGAGTGGGCAGCAGCTTACAAAGAGCGCGCAAAAACTATTTGCTCTTAGGCTGTAATTATGATTGTTATTTTCTGCTTGGATGATGTCCGCAGCCGTCGGTGTTGTCTCTGCTGTTACTTGACCAAACAAGCTGGACAACTTCAAATGATAATCTCTTGCCTGGCAACTTTTAAAAATCAAAAGCTTTTTAAAGCACGTGTATTCATCAAAAATAATCGCCGAATGAGAATGAATTGCATTGAAAACAATGCAAAGCAAAGAATAGATAACAGTTAAAGTACCGTTTTTCTTGGATTGTTAAAAACAATCATTATGCCTCTTTGGCCCCACCAAATCCTGTTTTACCTGCCGCCCCATCAGCTCCTACTTCAACTGTTGTTGCCCCTCATAGGCAAGTTTTTGTGTCTCTACTTTCGTCTGACACCACCTCTGAGTCATTGGCAGCCTATATTGCTAGCAAATTTTCTGATAGCGTGTCAATTACCAAATTTAATTTCTCCACTTGTGATCCCAAATTTTGGCCTCCACACATGATTGTTCACAAGTTCAAGCCAAAAAAGCGTAACCAGCCTGTCACCCTTCCAGTCCCTTCAATACAGGGTACCATTTCTGCCCCAAAATACTAACTTCTTCTTCTGACCAAGTCTCTATTCATCATCAGAATGTCAGAGGTCTCATTTCCAAACTTAAAAATCTTTTCATGGCCAGCACTTCCTTCGATTCGGGTATAATCGCATTTTCAGAAACATGGTTAAATTCAACCATATCTGATTTTGAGGTTTTTTCGAATAATTTTATTTTGCATAGAAATGATCGGCCGACTCGAGATGGTTGGGTATTAATTGCCGTTAAAGCCACTCTCCAGTCAGAACTTTTCTGTTTTAGTACGCCTACTGACGCTGAGATTGTCTCAGTCAAGGTGTCTTTTCCTACACGGAGTATTTATATTACATGCTCTTATATTCCTCCTTCTTCTGATATTCATGTTTATATGAAACATATTTCTTGTATTAAAGAAGTTTCTTCACACGTGCGTGATGACCTATTTATTGTGTTCGGTGATTTTAATTTGCCGAATATCTCTTGGTCATTGTTTACTCAGCACAGCATGACTTTATAGATTGCATGCTTGATCTTTCGTTGTTTCAAATCAATTCAGTTTCTAATCATTTGCATAGAACACTTGACCTTGTATTTGTTAACGACTATCTTATTTATAATGTGTCTAGGTCCCCTCCTTTATCTCTTCCTGAGGATGTATGTCATCCTACTTTAGAGATTGCAATGTTCAATTGTAATCCTCTCATTTCGTGCTCATCAGCCAATAAGCCCCGCCGTTGCTTTCGCAAAGGAAGTTATTCATTGCTGAATCAACTTATTTATGCTTAAGCTTACTTCCTTGGTAAATGATGCTTTCCTTTCGAAAATGCAAACTGATGTCATTTACACTGACTTCAGTAAAGCGTTTGACACTGTGCACCATGATATTTTACTTTTTAAACTTGACCGAATAGGTTTCCCTCCGTCTCTTTTGCTTTGGATTAGTTCATATTTAAAAGGTAGGACCCAAAGAGTAATGCTGAGGCTGACTACCTCTAAGCAGGTTCATGTTACTTCTGGTGCTCCTCAAGGTAGTCATCTTGGACCTTTACAAATTTGCTGTTCGGCCAATCAATTGCATCTGAATTGTTCAAAGTGTATGTTTATGACATTTAATCGTACTACACCTTATCTTGTTAGTTATACAATCGACAATACTCCATTGCAACGTTTACTTACATTTAAGGATCTAGCTGTTCTTTTTGATTCTAAACTCTGCTTCAATCTTCACACAGATACCATCGTTAATGAGGCAAAAGGTGTACTTGGATTCATTAAACGATGGTCTAAAGAGTTTAACGATCCTTTTATAACGAAGCTTCTGTACATCTCTCTGTACATTCTCTGTTCGGGCTAGACCAACCAGAAATTATTGCCCCTTATTCCTATCGACGTGCACAACAGACTACGCTATGCACAATCCTTTTCGCCTAGTATGTAAAAACTACAATAGTTTGCATAACGTTTTCTCTACCGAACTTTCTTTACCCCTAATAAAATCGTTGCTTTCAGGATACCTTCGGAAAGTCACTGACCATTCCCAGCTATGACCAGGGGCATAGTTTGCTGAATAGGCTGTAAATTTTCCCCCACCGGTGATTTGCCATTACTTTCCCAATATTATCTCTTTATTCTCTATATATCAGCAACAAGTTCTTTACTATATTAACAATCTTTTTACTTTCTTTTCTGCTATTAATGGTATTTTCTCAAATAATATAGCAAATTAAGATTATTTTTAATTTTACTTAAGAACACTTTTACTCTACTTACTCCCTTCTTCGTTGATGTAGGCTCTAATAGCGTCACTGACAAAATAAGCTGTGAAAAGGGGCACAGCTGGCCGGACTGGCATATAAAACACATCCATCGGTCGGTGATGCTATTAGAAATTTCTGTTCTCTAACTAGGATTTTAGCATTTATTTTTTATAATTATAATGTAATATAATAATATAATGTATTGAATAATTAGGAAAACACTCGTTTTGTTAATAAATAAATAAATAAAATAAATAAAAATGTTGAATAAAAGGAAAGAGGAGAAGAATGTGGATAGAGTTTCTTGACACTAGTTTAACAGAGTAATATTTGAATTTGTGTTTATATTTTTTGGTTTCTTATTGTTAAAATTGCATTTTTATGTTACTGTTTCTTTAAAAATAGCAAATATAAATACCCAAAAGCAAGTTAAAAATAGCAGTCAGTTGCTTATATTTTTAGTCTAATAGATGAAAAAGTAGATCTATATTCAATGTGTAAACTCATTCTTGACATACTTTATTTAGTAATGATATGGTTGCCGATGTACTAACTAAAATTTTGCAGAAGAACAAACATGTGAAATGTATTAATGAAATGAACTGTTATTAATAAGTTTCCAAGTATATAATTGTTGGGAAGGAGTATTAAAATATGCATAAGTTTTCGACAACTTATATTTGAATCCTGGTCACACTTAAGTCTTGTTTTGCTTTGTGCTAATTCTTATTCTTAAGTATATGTCTGTCGCTTACGATCCAGATCACAGATGTGTAATAAAAAGAAAAGACTATTGAATCCGCTACTGTTTCCTTATCAGTTCTACGTTAAAAAATTATATATCCAACATAATCTTTCTCTCTTTTCATAAAATATTTAGCTTCCATCTTTTTTCTTTTTTTGTTTTTTACTTCTTTCTTTTTAATCAAAATATATATTGTGAAAACCCACCTTTTTTCGCCCTTTATATTTATCTAAATATGCCTGAAAATCGAAAAAGGACATTTTCTTACAAAATTATGAGTATTTTTTGAGAGATAATTGAAACTAATCCTTCTCTTTTTTCATAAAATTTTTTGCTTCTTTTCTCTCTTAGTATATATCGATTTAATTTTTTCTTTATTTATTTATTAATTATTTATTTATTTATTAATTGAATTCTAATCCTTTTTTTTTGTACAAAATAATTAACTTTCTTCTTCTTTTAATATATATATCAGTTTTGTTTTCTGTGTATATCGATTTAGTTTTTTCTTTATTTATTTATTAATTATTTATTTATTTATTAATTGAATTTTAATCATTTTTTTTTGTACAAAATAGTTTACATCCTTCATCTTTAAATATATATATTAGTTTTGTTTTTTGTTTTTTCCACTTTTTTCTTTTTCACTCTTTATAATGATCTAAATATGCCTGAAAATCGAAATAGGCAAGTGTCTTTCTTTTCTCTCTTTTTTCATACAATAAATAGCTTCTTTTTTCTCATAATACTTATATAACAATTTAATTTTTTCTTTTTTACTATTTTGTTTTTAATCAAAATCTATATAGTGAAAAGCCCCCTATTTTTTTTATACCCTTGCAGAGGGTATTATAATTTTGTCGTGAAATGTGTAACGCATAGAAGGAGACATCTCCGACCCCATAAAGTATATATATTCTTGATCAGTATCAACAGCCGAGTTGATACAGCCATATATAGTCCGTCCGTCTGTCTGTTTCTATGCGAACTAGTCTCTCAGTTTTAAAGATATCTTTATGAAACTTTGCAGAATTGCCTCTTTCTGTTGCACGCAGTTCATATGTCAAAACCAGCTGGATCGGACCACTATATCATATAGCTGCCATAGGAACGATCGGTCGAAAAGTAGGTTCTTGTATGAATATCATTTTTGTTTATAAAGTTATCTTTACTAAACTTGGTATTTATTAGTTTTACTACGTTACCCATATATTTAAGCAAAATCCTATTAAGATCGGACAACTATATCATATAGCTGCCATAGGAACGATCGGTCGAAAATTAAGTTTTTGTATGGAAAATTTTTATATTTTTCAAGATATCTTGACCAAACTAGGTACTTATTAGTTTTACTAAGCTCCCCATATATATGCAAAATTCTATTTAGACCGGGCAACTATATCATATAGCTGCCATAGGAACGATCGGTCGAATATTTAGTTTTTGTATGGACAATTTTTATGTTTTTCAAGATATCTTGACCAAACTCGGTATTTATTAGTTACTACGCTCCCCATATATATGCAAAATCCTATTAAGATCGGACAACTATATCATATAGCTGCCATAGGAAAGATCGGTCGAAAATTAAGTTTTTGTATGGAAAATTTTTGTGTTTCAAGATATCTTGACCAAACTCGGCATTTATTAGTTTTATTATGCTCCCTCCACTTATGCAAAATCTTATTCACATCGGGCAACTATATCACAGCTGCCATAGGAACGATCGGTCGAAAATTAAGTTTTTGTATGGAAAATTTTTATGTTTTTCAAGATATCTTTACCTAACTCGGTACTTATTAGTTTTACTACGCTCCCCATATATATGCAAAATCCTATTAAGATCGGACAACTATATCATATAGCTGCCATAGGAAAGATCGGTCGAAAATTAAGTTTTCGTATGGAAAATTTGTGTTTCAAGATATCTTGACCAAACTCGGTATTTTTATAGTTTTACTACGCTCCCCATATATATGCAAAATCCTATTAAGATCGGACAACTATATCATATAGCTGCCATAGGAACGATCGGTGGAAAATTATGCTGTTGTTTGGAATATTTTTTGTTTTAAAAGATATCTTGACCAAACTCGGCATTTATTAGTTTTACTATGCTCCCTCCACTTATGCAAAATCTTATTCACATCGGGCTACTATATCATATAGCTGCCAAAGGAACGATCGGTCGAAAATTAAGTTGTTGTATGGAAACCTGTTTTGTTTTTCAAGATATTTTAACCATACTCGACATTAACTATTTTCCCTGTGCTTCTTAGATACGGCCAAAGCACTATGAGCATTTTGAAAAGGTTGGGTCTGCAAGGATATTAAATCTTCGGTGTGCCGAAGATAGCACTTCTTTCTCGTTTCAAATAATAATTTCCTTATTTTTTCTCCTAGTATAAGTTAATTTAATTTTGTATTTTCTTCGTTTTTCGTCTTATGCTAAATATATATATTGAAAAGCCTCTGTTCGCAGCAGAACGCCCTCTGAATAATATTATATCTGAATTATCTGAATTACATTATATCTTTACTTCTCAAATTGAAGTAAACTCGATATTACCATTGTAAATTGCTCATCACTAATCTATCGATAGTTATTGTTGTAAGTTCGACAAGTAAATCACGCATTACAAAATTAACTCTCATCTTCGGGCGCTTAGCACCATGTCAACAACTTAGGAGCTGGCTGACGGATTACTCATACACACAATATCACACAAGCTCGATCACCACACCCAGGAAAAGTGGCTGGAGGTGCTTGCAACGGATAAGCTACCCAGGTGGACGGATATGTCAGCGTTCTTAGAGAAGAGATGCCGCATGATGGAAAACTTGAAAGCAGCTACGTTACCTACACCTAGCCAACAGGTGGCCAGAAATGTACAAAAATTGAACCGTAACACATTCATTGCATCGTCATCTAACAATTATCAGCAAATTTGTAATTTTTGCGATTCAAAATAGCATTTTCTTGTTAAATGCCCGTTTTTTTTGAATCTGTCCCCAAGTTTGCGCCACAAAGAGGCCAAACGATTGCATCCTTGCCTATACTGCTTGCGCAAAGGCCATGGCTTGCAGCAATATCGCTCAGGTCACCGCAGGCATTGTCAACAAAAACATCATTCGTTGCTGCACATGAGCCCCATCACAACTCAATCATCTGCCCTGAGAACACCAAGTTTGCAGGCTGCAACCACGATCCAGCCTCACGCATCGTCTTCAAGGAATCCACCATCTTCAACTCTCGTCAGCACTGCGCTTGAATTCGCACCTGAAGCCACGAATGCCCAGCCTGTAGACTACGTGGTGCTTCCAACCGCCATCATATATGCCAAGAGCCACTCAGGTGTATTCATACCCTGCCGTGCATTACTGGATTCTTTATCTCAGCTCAACTTTATCACTGCTCGTCTAGTAAAGCAGCTCCAATTCAAAACTCATCATGCTGCCGTATCAATATCTGGTATAGGCGAATCAATCCTATCTTCTAACATGTCCACTGACATGTGCATTACTGGATTCTTTATCTCAGCTCAACTTTATCACTGCTCGTCTAGTAAAGCAGCTCCAATTCAAAACTCATCATGCTGCCGTATCAATATCTGGTATAGGCGAATCAACCCTATCTTCTAACATGTCCACTGACATTTCAGCGCAGTCCCGTGATAGGAGCTTCAGCACATCATTTTCAGCAGTCGTTACTCGCACTATAACGGATTATCAGCCCCACTTTGGATTAGATATCTCTGGGTGGAATATCCCCAAAAACATCTCTCTCGCGGATCCAACGTTTTTCAAATCCCAAAGAATAGATTTATTATTTGGTGCCGGACAATAGTCCGGCAATCTCATTTGCGTCGGCCAAATTCGAATGGCGGATAACCTACCAACGCTCCAAAAGACCAAGCTCGGATGGATTGCGTCTGGCGGACTCTCTCGCGTACACAACAAACACACATCCCTATCAGCCCTTTACAAGGAACCTAATCCATGAAAGGATCCACTGTCGGATATTGTAAAACGATTCTGGGAAGTCGACTTGGGCCACATGTCTTTGGCTCCCAGCAATTCAACCCAAATTATTCTACATTTTAATTCAGTTTCGTTTTTTAAAGGTTGCCATGTGCGGCGACATCTGTAAGATGTACCGCTGTGTCCGAACACCGCATCCAGATCAATTTCTGCAATGCATCTTATGGCGTGATCATAAAAATGAAAGCATAAGGACGTACACCCTGGATACAGTATGGAACCCAACCCGCTGCGTTTCTAGCAATTCGAGCGATGCAGCCGCTGGCCCACGACGAAGACCCCAACTTTCCACTAGCTGCAAAGATAGTTTGTCGCGACTTCTATGTAGAAGAAGCCATTCAGATCCAACAGCAAGTAAAACTGCTGCTGGCTAAAGGTCACTTTCCAATCAGAAAGTGATGCTCAAACGAGCCTGATGCATTAAAAGGAGAAAGCGAATCTGATTGTGAGAAGCTAATGGAGTTCAAGGATGGCACCAACATTGCAAAGGCGCTTGTTTTAGCTTGGAGCCCTAGCTCTGATAGCCTTCTTTTCAACTGTGCGGAAATCGTACCCGAAGGATCAGTCACAAAGCGGAGCATATTATCAATGATAGCGAGATTTTACGATCCGTTTGGATTGATCGTGCCCATCGTTACCAGGTTAAAGGTATTTCTCCAAGCACTGTGGAAGTAAAAGGTCAATTGGGACGAATGCCTGTCGCAGTCGCTGCAGTTCGAATGGATCAAAGTCATTTCGCAACTTTCATTTGTCAACAGCTTGAAATTCTCCCGTTTTTTATTGATGCCGCTGGCTACGTATGAGCTGCATGGATTTTGCGACGCCAGCACAGCCGCTTTTGGTACTTGCGTATTTGTCAGATCCGAAATGCAAGGGGTATTTTTATCACATTTGCTATGCTCTATGCTCTAAATCAAGGGTCGCCCCGGTAAAGACGCTGACAATCCCAAAGCTTGAGCTGGCAGCTGCACTTTTATTATCAGAGCTCATAGGAAACATCGCCAAGTGCATTCAGTTCGAATGCAGATATCATTGCTGGACCGACTCAACAGTAGCGCTTGCACGGATTCGTGAATCACCTTCAAAGTTTAACATCTACGTATCCAACAGGGTATCACAAATACAGGAGCGGACCAAGGGCATGATCTGGCATCATGTACCCTCTCAGCTGAACCCTGCGGACATTTTATCACGTGGATGCACACCTCCGGAACTTTTGGACTCACAGCTATGGTATAATGGACCCCCATTCATAAAGGCCGCTAGCTCGACTTGGTCTCAAAACGTCGCTTATCCCTTTGAGCTTCCAAAACGACGCCAGAAAGTGAAAGTCAACGAAGACGGACCTATCAACATCTTGTAAATTCAACAACACATTTGCCAAGTTACAGCGTACTTTCGCATACGTGTATCGATTTATAGCGCTAAAAAGATCTGATTCGACGAGTTCAAAAGGTCCACTTACTCCAGATGATATCAAGTGCAGAACGCATTTGTTATAAAAAATATTCAACTAACGCACTTCGCCGAGGAGTACAAAGGCCTCAGCTTAAAAAAGCCGCTTCCAACAAGAAGCAAACTTCGTTCTTTGTGCCCACTGTTGGACGCTGAGGGACTCTTGCGCGGCGGCGGCCGCCTTCAGAACTCAGACTTGGAATATGAAGCAAAGCATCCGGTATTGTTGCCTAATCTTGTTGCTATAATCACATATTATCATTTGGAATTTCTTCATGCTGGTCCGCAATTCCTTCTAGCAACACTCCGCCAACGATACTGGCCCATTGGAGATCTCAAGGCTGTCTCGAATATCATCAACAGGTGCGTGCGCTGCTTTCGAATGCGACCTAAACTTCTGGAGCAAGTCATGGCCCCGCTACCAGCTGAGCGTGTGCAGCCAAGTCCGACGTTTCCCGTAACTGGCATCGACTTTTGCGGTCCTTTCTATGTCAAATCAGAGGTCAGGAATCGCTCACCAACGAAGTGCTACATCTCAATTTGTATATGCTTTGCAACGAAGGCAACGTTGATAGAGGACCTGTCCACGTCATCGTTTATCGCTGCCTTGAAGAGATTCATCAGCCCTCGAGGGAAGCCGCATACAATATGGATGGACAACGCCACAAATTTCGTTGGTGCTCGAAATGAGCTGAAGGAACTGCTCGACTTTTTTATAAGCGATACACAGCGCAATGAAATTGTTCCCAACTGCCTAGCACTGGGAGTCAACTGGAAATTCATTCCGCCCCGTTCGCCACATTTTGGAGGATTGTGGAAGGCCGCTGTTAAGTCAGCAAAATATCATTTTTACCGCGTCGTTGGAAATTCTCTTCTCTCATTCCACGAATTCCGAACTCTCATCTGTCAAATATCCGCAATGCTTAAATCAAGACCGCTTTGCTCTATTACAGAAAACCCGAATGACTTGGAGATACTCACGCCTGGGCACTTCATCTGGGGCAAAGCCAATGCCACTATCGACGAGCCAGACATAACTCACCTAAGCATAGGTCGCCTTATCCGTTGGCAGCGAATATGTCACATGCAGCAATCATTTTTGAGGAAATAGAGTGCATCGTATTTATCGTCCAAGCAAAATCTTCAGGCCGGCAGCATCGTGCTGCTCAAGGAGGACAATGCAACACCACTCAAGTGGCCGCTTGGTCGAGTCGATAGCGTCATCACGGGTGTCGACGGCATTGTGAGAGTAGCAGTCATTCCTACATAAAATGGTCTAGTCAAGAGAGCCATTGACAAAATCGCCGTTCTGCCAATCGAGACCACATCGGTTGAAAGCTTGTATCTTCCAACGGGGGGAGCATGTTCGCAGCAGAACGCCCTCTGAATAATATTATATCTGAATTATCTGAGTTACATTATATCTTTACTTCTCAAATCACGATATTGAAGTCGCATACTATTATTTTTAAACCACCATAACATACAATTGTAAATTGCTCATCACTAATCTATCGATAGTTATTGTTGGAAGTTCGAGAAGTAAAGCACGCATAACAAGCAGTCTAAGGGCTCTTTTGATTTTTATTAAAATTGATACAACATAAAAGGGGCCGAGCATCTCCTCAAAACAGCCTCTTTCTTCATTTTCGCCGTTTATATTGTTACAAATATGCGTGATAATTGAATAAGGAAAACCCAAACCTAATTATGACTAGTTTTTAGAGATAATTGAATTTCCATCCTTCTCTCCTTTCATAAAATCATTAGCTTCTTTTTTCTCCTAATATATATCAATTTAATTTTTGCTGTTTTCCTTTATTTTGTTTAATCAAAATAGGGAAATTTTCTTACCAAATTCTGACTAGTTATTGAGAGATAATAGAATTTCAATCTCTCTCATTTTTTCATAAAATAATTAGATTTTATCTTTTCTCACAATATATCAATTTAATTTTTTCTTCTTACTATTTTCTTTTTAATCAAACGCCCCCTTTTTCTTTTACGCCCTTTATATTGACACAAATATGCTTGAAAATCGAAATAGGCCATTTTCTGACCAAATTAAGATGATTTATGAGAGATAATTGAATTTTAATCCTTCTCTAATTTCACAAAATAATTAGCTTTCTTCTTTTCTCAAAAAATATCAATTAAATTTTTTTTTCTTTTTATTCAAAATATATATAGTGAAAAGCATCTTTTTTCATTTTCGCCGTTTATATTGATGAATGAAAATTGAATAAAGAAATTTTATTACCAAATAATGGCAAGTTTTTGAAAGATAATTGAATTTTATTCCTTCTCTTACTCATAAAATAAATAGGTTTTTTTTTCTCTTAGTATATATTAATTTAATATTTTTTTTCATTTTTTCCTTTTATTCAAAATATATATAGAGAAAAACCCGTTTTTTCCTTCCTTTTTTCTTAGTACATAATAATTAATTTTTTTCTTCTTTCCTTTATTCTTTTCAATATGCTCATAGTGCTTTGCCCTTATCTAAGAAGCACAGGGAAAATAGTTAATGCCGAGTATGGTTAAAATATCTTGAAAAACAAAACAGGTTTCCATACAACAACTTAATTTTCGACCGATCGTTCCTATGGCAGCTATATGATATAGTAGCCCGATGTGAATAAGATTTTGCATAAGTGGAGGGAGCATAGAAAAACTAATAAATGCCGAGTTTGGTCAAGATATCTTGAAAAACAAAAATATTCCATACAGCAGCATAATTTTCGACCGATCGTTCCTATGGCAGCTATATGATATAGTTGTCCGATCTTAATAGGATTTTGCATATGTACGGGAAGCGTAGTAAAACTAATAAATACCGAGTTTGGTCAAGATATCTTGAAACACAAAAATTTTCCATACAAAAACTTAATTTTGGACCGATCTTTCCTATGGCAGCTATATGATATAGTAGTCCGATCTTAATAGGATTTTGCATATATATGGGGAGCGTAGTAATACTAATAAATACCGAGTTTGGTCAAGATATCTTGAAAAACATAAAAATTTTCCATAAAAAAACTTAATTTTCGACTGATCGTTCCTATGGCAGCTGTATAATATAGTTGCTCGATCTAAATAGAATTTTGCATATATATGGGGAGCTTAGTAAAACTAATAGGTACCGAGTTTGGTAAAGATATCTTGAAAAACATAAACATTTTCCATACAAAAACTTAATTTTCGACCGATCGTTCCTATGCCAGCTATATGATATAGTTGTCCGATCTTAATAGGATTTTGCATATTTATGGGGAGCGTAGTAAAACTAATAAATACCAAGTTTAGTCAAGATAACTAGTGGTCCGATCCAGCTGGTTTTGACATATGAACTGCGTGTAACAGAAAGAGGGAATTCTGCAAAGTTTCATAAAGATAGCTTTAAAACTGAGAGAATAGTTCGCAGAGAAACAGACAGACGGAAAGACGGGCATGGGTATATCAACTCGGCTATTGATACTGATCAAGAATATATATACTTTATGGGGTCGGAGATGTCTCCTTCTATGCGTTACACATTTCATGACAAAATTATAATACCCTCTGCAAGGGTATAAAAATTTAGACAAGATACCAAAAAGAAATCGTGGTGGCATTCATCTGCGCATAAAGAATCGCAAAGCGGAAATATGAAAAATTTTATACAATAGCAGCAAGCCGCCAAGTTAGAAAGATGCCAAGAGGCTAGTCGGTGAGCTAGACTTTCTTGAAGAGCAACCTAAGACCTACAAAACACAAACGAAAACCCCTTCCTAAAAAATAGAAAAACCAAACCGAAACTAGAATTATGCGCAGCACATCTGTTAGCAAAATTAATTAAAAGAATAAATGAGTCAATACCAATAGCAAGGAAATTATATGCATGGAGTGACTCTACAATTACATTAGCTTGGATTAAAAACAGTACAAATAAGAACAAGATCATAAGAAAAAGAACTGAAGAAATAAAAAACACAAATATAAATTGGGGAGTTTGTCCAAGTAAATTAAAAGAGTGCCAAGTTTGGTGGAAAGGGCCAGAGTGGCTTGCAAAGTCTAAAGAAAATTGGCCAAAAGAACAGACGACCGAAGATATGATAATAGTCAATACGATTTTATCAAACTTCGGAAGTAGGATTATACAAGAGTTAATTCAAAGCTATTCTTGCTTACAAAAACTAGAAAGGATAATAGCTTATATACTAAGATTTATAGCAATCTAAATTACAAAGAAGGTATTTCCATCCCATCTAACAGTTAAAGAAATCAGAAAAGCAAATATAATGTTACTTAAGCAAGAACAGACAAACCAATTTATCACAGAAATAAATTGCTTACGTCAGAAAAAAGAAATTGAAACGAAGAGTAAAATACTAGGATTAAATCCATCTTTAGATCAAAATGGGATATTAAGAGTCGGGGTAGACTTCAAAATTCAAATGCAAATTTCGATATCAAACATCAAATAATTTTGGACAAAGACCACATAGCTTCTCTAATAATAAGAAAAGCACATAAATTAACATTGCATGGTGGAATTAACTTAATGAGAAATTATATCCAGAGAAAATACTGGATAATCGGATTAAGAAACTCCTTAAAGAAATATTTGAAAGAATGTGTCATATGTACTAGATACCGGCAACACACAGTAGAACAAATAATGGGAAATCTCCCAAAATATAGGACAACAGAATTTTTCCCGTTCTTAAATACAGGAGTAGACTATGCAGGACCATATAACATTAGGTGCTCAAAAACTCGGGGACATAAAACATATATGGGGTACATAGCAGTATTCGTATATATGTCCACAAATGCAATTCACCTAGAAGTAGTGAGTGATTTAACATCAGATGCATTTTTAGCAGCACTAAGAAGTTTTATAGCAAGACGCGGAAAATGTGCTCACATATACTCCGATAATGGAACTAATTTCGTAGGTGCGTCCAGGAAGCTAGATCAAGATTTTCTAAAAGCGATCAGAAAATGAAAAACTCCAGTGGCATTTTATCCCGCCGGCAGGACCTCACTTCGGAGGTATTTGGGAATCCGGAGTCAAGTCAGTAAAATATCACCTAAAAAGGGTAATAGGCGACAACAATCTAACCTTCGAAGAATTATCAACATTGTTGTGTCAAATTGAAGCAGTATTAAACTCACGACCTTTGTACACATACGGAGAAGACATTGACGATAACGATGTAATGACACCAAGTCATTTTCTAATTGGAAGACCAACATTAGATAGCATAGAATCAGAGACAGAATATAATAGGCAACTTAGACAGATGGAAACTGATTCAAAGAATGAAGAAAGAGTTTTGGTCAAAGTGGAAAGAAGATTATTTGTATACCCTACAACAAAGAAGTAAATAGAAAAAAGAAACACGGGATGTACAAGAGGGACAAATAGTAATAATGAAAAACGAAAACTGTCATCCAGCAAGATGGACCTTGGGCAAAGTGGAAGAGGTACATAGGGGAAAAGATAACAAAGTCAGGGTAGTAAAAGTAAAATTACAGGATGGATTTATCACAAGACCAATTACAAAAGTGTGCCTGCTTATTGGCATACAGACACAAGACAAAAATGAAAATTAGCAGAAAACTAATGAGGAGGAAAGGAGAAGCTCTAAGAGATGTAAAATCCAAAGTTAGGATTGATGATGATGATGATACTCATGCTGTTCTGCCAAGTATTGAATACAACTCCGTTAAGGGAACAAGAAAGAAAATGGGTGATAGAAAAAATTAATAGTTCCTCAGCAATGTATCTAGATCCAATGGGTGAGGTAGAAATAGTGTCATCCTCATGGGATCTGGTTATATTTTACGACATGAAACCATTAAGTTAGTGCAAAAAATGAGAGTGGTTTGTGAGAAAATCCATGGGTTTGAAGATCAGTGTAAATTGATACTCAATAGCACACAGAGACTAATTGCGGAATTAGAAGAAAATAACGAACTATTTACAACCAAAAATCCCATAAGAAAGAAGCGTTCACCATTGAATTTTGTGGGTTCTCTATATCACATTTTGTTTGGTATAATGGACGCCGACGATAGGGAAGTAATGGAAGAAAACATGAAAACATTACTTCAAAATCAACA